TGAGTGGATACCGTTTTGCAACCAATTTATTTGCAATGCTCAGTAACGTAAAAGAATGCCAGACATAGCGTAATTGCTTTTATATTGACTTGAATGAAAATAGCCTAACCGAAGGACTTGTGGATTGATGTGAATGGCAGCAAGCAAGAATGCTCAGAATGCTTGTGGATTAAACATCTCCGATGACGTTCATCCCCATGGATTGATTTTATCGGGTTACAAGAAAAGGTATAGGATTTAATTGCGAACTGTTAGTACTGATTTTATGACTGATCATGCTACATGCAATGGCATTCGAGTCCACACGCATCCAACTAGAAGTGACAGCCTGGTGAATAATCTGCATTATAAAAAGGAAAAAAAAAATCTTTAAACATTATTCACGATTACGTATTGCTGCCAAAGTATCTAGACTTTACAGTGCTTTGTTATATGGAGCTGTTTGGTAGATCGCGATATATCTAATTCGTTTGTCTAATAAAGTGCTTCAGTGACAGATCAGATGTATGAAAGTATACAAGTTACACCGTAATTAAAATGCGACAGATTTTAATGGACAGTAAAACAAAGGCAGAACACCGTATAACTCCAAGCCGGCACCGTAACTTCATATTGACGTGCAGCTAAACAAAGGCAGAACGCCGTGACTCAATTTCAGTGGTCCAAACAAAGCCAAAGAGCGGTAACTGGTATTAAACGGTGTTTTGCCTTGATTTCTCCAGAACTTTTCGAAGTTACGGTTAAGACAACCCATTATTTTCTCGGAGAAACAACAAAATTGACTCAAGATACTTATCCACATGATAAAGGATGTCTTGAATGTCCCAAAAATATCAGTAACTCCTTTTCGACCAAAATCGAAGTTACAGTCTTTTGCCTTCATACATAAATTATATATTATAATATAGTTATGTTATATATTGTAATATACATGTTTTTTAAATATAATAAAATACATATTTTTTAAATATAAGTTTATATAATATAAAGTAATTTAAGTTTAACATAATGACTACTTTACTCAATATTTGCACTTGTTATGTATTTTAATGTTAGTTAGAGTATACTGTATACAGGGGCGTAAATTTCATCTAACAGTTGGGGGGGACAATAAACATAACATTTCTCAAGAGCAATTTTTGAAGGGGACACAAATAATACAGCTAAAATTGTACTTGTAAGGATATTTATATACAGAGGAAAGCCTTATTACTATTAGTGCAGCAGGGAGACCGTGCTTAAAGCTGTTGTGGTCGCGCCGCGACAGCCCTCGTGTAGACATTCTACAACCTCGAGGAGGTTACCGGGGGACCTTACCGGGTTAGTTTGGGCTAGTTTTGAGTAGCAACTGGGAGGGTTTTGTTGTGAAAACCTGGCAACCCTTTCCGTCAAGCAGGTGACGGAATATATTATTGCTAACATAGTGGATTCATCGAAAAATACATCATAAAGAGAAAATAATCACTTCATCTGATGTTTAAGTGAATAAAATAGCCTTGACAGCCTTACTTACTTGTGTGTAGGTGATGTAAAATAGGAAAGCAGGCATTTGGACCAAAGCACTGTGAGGCAAGGGAGGGGGAGACTCAAAATATTTCTAAACTTAAAACGCATTTTGCCCCATTTGTGTTGTTTTAATACTTACACAATTATTTTAAGTATAAAACTTTGTTATATACAATACACAGTGTGATTTTAATCATATTTTTAGGGGGGACAACCCTCAGAACCCCCCATGTGTGACAGCAGTTAAGTGATCAAATAATGTCAAACAATCACAGAGATGGATGTGTCTCACGCAGCTCTGCGCCCTGTGTCGTGGAGTGTGTGTGCTTTGAGAAGTGCTGACAATAGGTGATTTTTCATCCAGACGGCCAGCAGCAGATCTGCAGTAATTAAGGTTCTGTAATGCACCTTGAAAGGGAATGAGTGCCATGCTAGCAGGCAGCCATTTCTAAAGCTTTTCACAATCCATGTCAAGGGCTGCTCACACTCTCTTTTTCTCTGGGTCGGACAAAGGGCTCGCTTTCGCGTTAAGTAAACATAGGAAAAATGTGTTTTCGCTCAGCCTCACATAAAATGAGCACATTAGATCAAGTGCAACACTTCTGAATTCAAAAGGAAGACTAATGGTGTGACTGGAACTTTTAATGGTTTGTTTACAGTTAACAGCTTTCTCTAAATCTGTCACGAGCAGGTAAATTTAATCAAACCCAACCTAAAGCCCTGGGCTCAGTCCAAATTCACATACTGTTCCTGTTGCAAAGTACACAGTGAATTTCCATCCTGGTTTAGGCCGTTTTATCCTGGTTCATCGCGGTTTTGATGAGGGTGCACTGTGATGTACTTTTAAGTTAGAATTGTTGGATTCATAAGGGATCCAAAAGTCTGAAAAACTGTAATTCAAAATCTAATTTCAAAGCGGAAATAACCTGGAAGACATCTTAATTTCTCAATTGAACTTTTCATTCAAGTTGAGATGCTAGAAATACAATTTGTAATGAGAAAAAAATCTTCAATTAGAAAATAATGCACAATGGAAAGTGGTCTCAGTCTGTTATTTTAGTATAATTTATATACTATTATAGTATTATAAAGTATAATAATTTTAGTTAAGGTTTTATTAATTCATTTGCATTCATTTTATACATTTTTTATTAATTTGTAATGTATGTATAGCTTACTTCTGCCATTGCATAAAAAAAATAAAAAAGGTAATTGCAACTTTTTATCTTGCAATTCTAAGAAGAAAAGTTGGAATGTGAGATATAAACTCACAACTGCAAGAAAAAAAATTACAATTATCCTTTTTTATTCTGTGTTGGAAGCAAAAAATAGAAATGCAAGATGTAAACTCAGAGTTCTGAGGGAAAAAAAAGTCAGAATTGCTAGGTTTAAAAAGTTTTTATTAACAATTCTGACATTTTTTCTCAAAAGTTTAGAGTTTGTATCTCAATTTCGAGTTTCATATTTTTCTGACTTTTTCTTTGAATTGTGAGAATAAAAGTCAGAATTGTTAAATAAAAAGTCACAATTACCTTTTTTCATAGCTTACATTATGTGGTTTTGTCATTTTATTTGTTTTTTATAAATATTTCTATATATAGCTTTAATTTAATTTTTATTTCAGTTTTAGCTTTAGTAATTTTAGTACTTCAACTTAAACTTTTCTGATTTTCATTTCAGGTTTCTTTTTCTGTTTAAAGGATTAGGAGGTGACTAAATTATCAGGAAATTTTAATTCTGGAGTGAACTAATCCTTTAAGTTAATAATATTTACATTTATATTTTATTTCAGCTTTATTTGAAAAGCTGAAAAATAAAGCTGAAATAAAAAAATATATATATATATATATTTTTTTTTAATAATTTTAGTTAATAACAACACTGTCTCAGACTATAATTTACTATTGGAAGTTCAGTATGTACTCAATACACTTAGTTGACATAAAATTAATTGTCTTCTGTACATAATTATTAATTGGGATTAAACTCTGGACATTACAAAGATGCTGGTGCTTACCGGCGTACTCAGGGTCCACATGAGGAGGATAGAAACGGAAGTTAATGAAGAAGGGGATAGGCACACCGTATTTGAACCACTCCACCACATAGGGAGTCTGCTGGCCGTTTAGGGGGTGGCTCACGTCACATCCCAAAACAACACTCTCTCCTGCACGGGCCGTCACAAACTGGGGCTCCTCTCTCACTCCGTGGGCACCTGGACACAAAAAACACACACATATTCAGCACAGTTTAAAAAATAATAATAATAATAATAATTTGATGTTTTATTTAATTTACTAATGAGGAAAAAATGGGGAGTGGGATCAGGAACTTTAGCAGGCCAGGTTTGAATCTGCATCCTCAGAAGCTCTAACAACACGTGCCACGCCATACCACCAAATATTTACAGATTTACGTCTGCATTTGCCACATTTGTCCCTAAAAACTATACTCAAAGTGAGGTGTCAAACAGCTCATTGTCCCATTTAACAAACATTTGTTGTTAAGACTTGGATAGTTTCCCAAACGCTGGACTTGTGAAAGTTCTCAGGTAATTATTACTTAAAAGGAACGGCCAAGCACATAATGAGATGACAAGAGGCTTATCCACGCACCTCATTGATCTCAGCTAATTCACACTTGGATGGCTTTTACAATAGAGGAGCCAGAGTTTTAGCAATCAGTGCACAAGCACGTCACATGCCTGTGGATGACCTATCGGAACGCTAAAGGTCATTGTACCTGCCTCAGCAGAAAATATATTGGGGAAATGGATTTTCTTCAGCAAGCTCCACCACAGCCATTGAGCACTCTCTCCTCTATCAGAGTTAGCATGGCTTCAGCGCCTCAATGAAGGGGAAAATCACCTCCGGGATCAAAGGACCTGCTGACGGTGCATTCTCCACCACGGAGACACTGTATGGAAAACTAAATGATTCAGTAACAGTAAAATGTAAGAAAAAGTAGGTTACAAAAACAGTGCTCTCTGTCTGTCTTTCCTTCCTTACTACATACTAAAGAAAAACACTACTATTTTTATAACATTGAAGTACCGCTAAAGCACAAAGTTACACATCAGAATGTGTTTTAGCTATTTACCAATTTAACTCTCAAGTATAGCTTACCTTAATGGTTCATTTAAAGTTTAACATGACAAAATTCATGTCTTGTGGTTCACTAGTGAAGAACTGATTGGACATAAAAGTTTGGGGTCAGTAAGAATTTAAAAGTAAGAAATTTGTACTTTTATTCAGAAGGGGCACATTAATTTGATCAAAAGTAACAGTTAAGACATTTACAGAAAAAAAAACTAATAAGCAGCAAAACTCTTTTAAAAATGAATAAAGATAACAATGTTTCTTGAGCACCAAATCAGCATTTTAGAATAATTTTTGAAGGATGTGACACTGAAGTCTAGAGTAATGATGCTGAAAATTCAGCTTTGCCATCACAGTAATAAATTACATTGTAAAATATATTAAAATAAAAACATTTATTTTAAATTGTAATAATATTTCACAAAATTATTTTTCACTGTATTTTTGATCAAATAAATGTCATCTTGTCCAGCTTTTCTCTCTCATCACACTGAAGTCAGATTGTAAGCTCACGAGTCAGGTAAAATTATTTCGTAAAAGCATTGATTCTGTAGATTCAATTAATAACATCAGTGCAGGAAACACTTCCAGAAATATTTCAGCATGGCATTTCGATCCGCATTGACAGAAAAATGCAGACATTCCAAAACCATAAATGCAACTAAACATTACGGATATCATTAGCTTTCAGTATGTTTAAAAAAATAACAACCATTTCTCAACTTTCTACCAAACTCATATGCAACTGTGATTTTGTTTACCAGTTTAATCAGCTTTATCCAGTGGAAGAGTTAATCCACTTTATTTGATTTAGCTCACACAGGTTTTGGACTGAAACAGTGCAGATTTAATCAAATTACTCCTTTCCTAAAGTAAAGCTTGCACCCTCCAGTCACGGGCCTGGGCCCTGAAATCCGCTCTACTATTGCGAGTGCAGAAGATCGCAAAGTACCACAAAGAGAGCAGCTTAACTTTAATGAGAGACCAACAGGGTGCATGCATACTTATAAACTCACTACAATCTGCATATGACCAGGTTCACAAAGAGCATTTCAGCAAGCCGTAAATGTGGGTCAGGAAGCCCCATGTTTAGCCTCGTTAGAATGGGCTAATTGTCATATTGTAACACTTTTGCATGGTTGGGAGCGTATATACTGTAATAAATATGTTGCAAGATCAAGAATTGTACATTGCACATTGGAATCTCACATAGTTAACACTTCACTTAGTCTGTTAACTAGCAATATAGCTATATTTAGACAGCTTCTTTATATAGCCGCTACATACTTTTTCTAACAGTTTATATTTTTCCCCTACTGAGATCGACTTGTAATTGTATTCGCTCTCTGATCCTTTGAATTAGAATTGGAAAACTTTCCTACTTTCCTGCCTTACTTATTGTTAGTTCTCGTCATTTATAAATATTATCTAACCTACTTCCTCCTTATTACCTCACTGCAGGGCTCCAGACTTACATATTTTATATTCGACATATGGTGGCACCAGCACCTGATTTGACAGAAGTGAGGGCCTATAAAATGAAAAATGTAAGGACAGAAACCAATAACAATGGCGATTTATTGTATTTCACAAGTAAGTGCAGTTACCAGTAATATTCCATATTTAAGCTCATTCGAAAACCACATTCAACCATAAATCACCATAATTCACAAATGTCCTCTAGAGTCCATGATTCTATTTTGCATTTGCCCACTTAAAAAATAAACCATAGTTTGTCTATAGTATCTTTACTTTTAACAATAATATGCCGTGGTGTGGTCACACTAGATTTTGAGCAGATGAAATTTCTGCAGACACTAGTCGTAATTGTCAGGATTCTGGACTGTCTGTGTTGTGTTTTTGCTCCCCACGTGCTTTCCATGACCCAGTTTTCCCTCATGTGCAATTATGTTAATTGTTTCATTAGTTCCTCGTCATCCCATCCTCTAGTCTTGTGTATTTAAAGTGTTTCCTGTTTTGAGTTCTTTGTCTGGTATTGAATGTCTGTGAACGTCAGCCTTGTGTTCTGTCTCCTGTTGGATAATTAAAGACTCTCATTTTGGAAAATCTCCACGTCTCCTCGTTTCCTCAATCCTGTGCTCTAACGTATCGTGACAAAACAGACCAAAACATTTACCTCCGTATGTTCTCTCCATTTTTTCCTCAGTGTTTTTTGTTTCCGTTGTGTCCATGGATCCCCTCCTTCGTCCTGAATACCCCCCCTCCTGCTGGAGCAGGGGGAGAGATTGCTCGAGGGCCACACCAGACTGTTCCTGGTGCTTGCCAACCTCTCCAGCTACCCGGACAACGCGCTCTGTGCGTTCTGTGATGCCAGTTTAAACTCCACGTACAGAGCGCCGTCATCCGAGGAAGGCCCTCGAGCGAATTTCCCCGCCTTTGTGGAGTGAACACTCGCCAGTTCCACTCCAGACACAGTGCCCAGCCCACCATCTCCCCGATGCACGGAGCGCATGCCCAGGCCCACCGCTGACGGAGAGCCGGCGCCCGCCGCAACCGACGAGCCATCGCCGCACGGAGCGACAGTGCTGAGGATCCCCGCGGAGCCGGAGCTGCAAATGACGTCAGTCAAGGTGTGTGAGCCAGCAACAACACCCGCCACGAGGGAGAAAGCCACGGATGGTGTGAGCATGGAGAGGAGCTCCACCCCCTGCACCGCGGCTGAGGGTGAGCTGTGTATGGCGCGGCGACTGTGCCACACCAAAGAGGAGAGGGCTCCCGTTCCTAAGTTCTGGCCTGAAAGCCCGGAGGCTCACAAATGCTCGCCCTCCCACTCGCTCCTGCCTCCTCCTCTGCTGTCGTCTGGCAGCGCCTCTGCTCGCCCTCAGCCCACCATCTATGCGGTGCGAGCTCCGTGGGACTGCCATCCTCCAGCTTTGCCGTGGCTGGAGTTTCCCTTGACTCCGCCTCCAGCCTCTAGCCCATGTCCCCGTCGGCTCCTAGCTCCCTCCTCTTCGCTGTGGCCCGGCAGTCCACTAGCTCCGCCGGTCTCCCACATCCCTCCGGCTCTGCCTTGGTCTGGCGTCGACCATCCTGCGCCTCGGGACTCCACTCCTCTGGCTTCGCCTCATCCCTTCGTTCCTCTGGCTCAGTCAGGCTCCGTCATCCCCTCGGCTCCTCCTCAGTCCTCTGTCGCTCCGGCTCCACCGCGGCCACGCCTTCGCGTCGGTCGCTGGCGCCATCTGCTCCGTTCTCGCATGAGCTTGCGTTTCCAGAAATGGAAATCAATGGAACAAAAGTGTAGTTTATCCACCTCTATATTCATAGAGCTTTGCATCCAAAACCATGCATGACTTCTCACAACTATGACTAAATTTAACTATGGTTTCTATAAAGCTTAAGTTATTTGTGATGAAAAACAGTGGTCTAAACTAAAATAAAAAACAAAAAAGGAACTGCCATACACCTTTACAAAATTGAACTATGGTTTTATTATAGTAGTAGTAGTAACAATGTTTTTTGGCGTATTGATTACCATGTGTAGAACCACACACAGTTCTATCATGACAACTCTCTGCAGATTTTAGCATGGTAATTGATATGACAATGTTAATGTATTTGGTCTACTATGATCTACTATGCTGTTGCTGCTGTTGGTTATTGCTATAGTTTTAGATTATTGCTGCTGATGCTGCAAGTACAATAACTTGCTACTGCCAATGCATATGGCGATACGGTGCTGTGAGTATTTCAGACATACTGCTGCTGCACAAATTGCATATTAAATAACCCGTAGCAGATCTATACAGGTGGAGCTGGGGAAGGTGGAGGGTTTCAGAGGAACTCTGAAAGCGTGCTGCAAAATGCTCGAGTGAAAACCATGGTTAATTTGTGGTTACCATGGTTTATCTATAGTAACCATGGTTTTTTGGTTTTATTTGTAGTAAAACCATGGTTAATTTTAATAAGGTTAGTATCATAACAATATTAAATTATATTCACTTACTCCCCAAACATATGCAATGAAACAAATATGACTATACTAACAACATAAAAATATATTATATAAATCTATTATTGTATGAATACCAAATTTCCCAAAATATCATGATTAATATAATTAGTGCTTTTATAGTAGTAACTCCATGGTAAATATTAA